TGAGAGCTGATGGTTTAAAAGTGACAGTTTCCCTCTGATCTCTCTCTCTCCTGCTGCCATGTAAGACATGCCTTGCTTTCCTTTTGCCTTCTGCCATGATTATAAGTTTCCTGAGGCTTCCCCAGCCATGTGGAACTGTGAGTCAATAAACCTCTTTTTATAAGGTTCCTGAGGCTTCCTCAGCCATGTGAAACTGTGAATCAACAAACCTCTTTTGTTTATAAATTACACAGTCTCAGGTGGTAACTTTAGAGCACTGTGCAAATGAACTAATATGATAACTAGTATTAACTGAGTGCTCTGTATGTACTGGACACTGAGCTAAGGTCTTTAGCTTGTAAATGTGCATTATCTCATGATAACTCTATTAAGTAGGCTGTGTTAGTCCATTTTGTGCTGCTATAACAGAATACCACAGACTGGCTAATTTATAATGAACAGTAATGTATTGGCTCATGGTTCTGGAGGATGGGAAGTTCAAGATTGAGAGGCTGGCTGGTAAAAGGCTTCTGGTTGCATAATTTGTGGCAGAAGAGCAAAGAAAGGGTACAAGAAAGAGAGAGTGAGGGGTGGCTCAATGCATCCTTTTATAAGGAGAACATTCTTGCAATAATGAACAATTCCTGCAATAATGGCATTAATCCACTTGTGAGGGAAATGCTCCCATGACCTAAACACCTCCCATTAGGACTTGAACTCCAAACACCGCTGCATTGGGAACCAAGTTCCCAATTTGTGAACTTTGGGGGACACATTCAAATCATAACATAGGCATTTTTATTACTACCCTTTTATATGTGAGGAAACCAAAGCTCAGAAAGACTATATAACCTGCCCAAAGAGACACAACTAGTAATATCCAGCTTAGACCAAAACCCAAGTAGTCCTTACTCCAGTGGCTGCCCTTTTAACCACTATGCCATAACAGACTCAAATGACCCATCAGGAGCTCCACTGCTTCCGTATTCAGCATTGGTTTCCATAAACAGTAATCTATGGTGATTATAGGTAAGATCATTAGGTTCAACTTCAGAAATTCTACAAACAGAAAATTGAGAAAAATACTTCTAGTTAAGATTCTTGGTCTTGGGGTCCTTGGAAGGGGCCCCAAACTTTGGACATGCTCCTTAAACAGTAAGAATACCAAAGCCACAAATAGAAAGATTAAGACATATACATAGAGTCATATAATTTTAGATAACAACTCAAGAGGCCAAAACCATTAGGCTAGTTCACAACCTCCTTAAAAAAACATTATGGTTATGAATTTCTTTTTGATGTTTAACCTAAATTAAAATTTAAACTGCTTACTTCCTTAAGCATGAAGGATGAACATTTGCTCATTCATATATGTTCAAGGAAACTATACAAAATAATGAGTGTAATTCTCAAAGTAAATGGTGACATTTCGGCGGAAACTTTAGGCTCATGAAAAATTCTGTGAGTCTCAAAGAATTTCTCAATAGTGGATGAATCTGTCAAGTGTTGTTACATAGACAACACTAAAGGTCTATGTAATGATTATGCACACGGACAGTCCACACCCTTCTACTTTTCTCCTACTCATTTCAACTGCCCCATATAATTGCTTGGCTTATTTGCAACTAAAATCCACCCATCTTGTTGTTTGTTAGCAGACATGGTTAAAAATATTTGTTTGGGGTTACGAGAACAGTTGGTAAAAATAAAATTATATATTCTACAGTTATCTTTTTAAATATCCCCACTTTTATAATAGACTCACATTGCTTTTTTTCATACATCATGTCACTTTTTTAAAAGATTCATTCTCTGAATTTAGTTCTTGCCCATTGTTTTTTTGTGACAATCATGTGATCTGTGCTTTTTATTGGTGTCTTTCAGTTTTTAAATAGACATTTTTTTTTAGCAGTTTTATGTTCACAGCAAAACTGAGCAAAAAGTAGAGTTACTATTCTCCCTGCCACCTCACATGCACAACCATTTCCATCATCAACATCCCTCATCACAGCTGTAGATTTGTTACAATCAATGAACCTACACTAACACATCATTTTAACCAAAGTTCATAGTCTACATTAGGGTTCATTCTTGGCATTATACATTCTCTAGATTTTAAAACATGTATAATGAAATGTATCCACCATTGTAGGATCATACAGAACTTTTTCCTTGCCTCAAAAATCCTCTGACCTCTGCCTATTCATCCCTCTCTCCCACCCAACTCCTGGAAACCACTGATCTGTTTACTGTCTCCATAGTTTTGAGTTTCCCAGAATGTCATATAGTTGGAAGCACACAATGTGTACCCTTTTTAGATTGACTTCTTTCACTTAGTAATTATGCACTAAATTTGATCTATGTCTTTTCATGGCTTAATAGTTACTTATTTTTAGTGTTGAATAATATTCCATCATCTGGATGTACCACAGTTTATTTATCCATTCACCTCTTGAAGGATATCTTGGTTGCTTCTGACTTTTGGCAATATGAATAAAGCTGCTATGAATATCTGTGTACAGGTTTCATGTGGACATACGTTTTCAGTTCATTTGGGTAAATACAAAAAAGCACAATTGCTAGATTATATGGTAAGATTGTGTTTAATTTTGTAAGAAATAGCCAAATCCTCTTCCAAAGTAGCTGTAGCATTTTGCATTCCTACAAGCAATGAATGAGAGTTCCTGTTGTTCCAGATTCTGCTGGCATTTGACGTTTTCAGTGCTTAGCATTTCAGTGTTTAGATCATTTTGATAGGTATGTGTGGTATCTCACTGGTCTCTTAATTTGCATTTCCCTAATAACATATAATGTTGAACATATTTTCATATACTAACTTGCTATCTGTAGATCTTCTTTGGTGAAGTGTCTGTTCAGGTCTTTTCCTTACTTATCAGGTTGTTTGTTTTCTTATTGTTGACTTTTTTAAGTTCCTTATATATTTTAGGTAAGTCTTTCACCAGATGTGTCTTTAAAAATATTTTCTATTTTATTGTTTCAATCTAAAATTATTCTGTGGTTTCTAGAGCTATTCTTTTCCCCAATTAGTATTCTTCATTAATTAAATTTCTTTGAAAACTCCTTTGTGTGTATATTTATTTAACCAACATTTATTAAGCACCTTTTAGTACTGCCCTAGGTCATGGGAATACAAGATTACAAAATGTATAAGACCTTTGATATCTTTGGCTAAAAATAATTTAATCTGTCCACCATGAGAGATAATATAACAGATGCCACAATAGAAATACATGTAGAATGTTATGGGAGCAAAAGAGAGTTGCAATCCTTTTGGAATTGACAGGGTAAAATGAATAACAATCATAAAAATATCTGAGATTTATTCATTGAGTTCTTTGTATTTGAGACTATGGCCATGAGATTTACATACATCATCATATTTAAAGTTAACAATAATTTCATGAGTTATGGATACTTTAATTTTATTAATGGATGTCTGTTCAATGAAGGGTAACATAGAAAAAGTTGAAAGACCAGATAGAATGGGGAGAACATATCTGAAATATATAAAACCAAGAAAAGATTCTGAACTATGTGAGGAACCACTGCAAATAGACCAAAAAAGGGATAGAAAACACAACATAAAAATGGGTAAACAGTATGAACAGATAATTAATGGAAGAGGAACTCTGAAAGGTCACAAGCATATGAAAACATGCGCAAAAGTATCAGTAATCAGATAAATGCATATTAAAATGCTGAAGTATCAACTTTCCCCCTATTAGAATGGGGAAAAAGAGAAATGGCAAGTATGGGGACATAAAATCCTCATGCACTGCTGGTGGAAGTTTATGGAGATTTATTTTTAGAGAGCAATCCAGCTCCACCTATTCAAATTAAATAAACATATCTTTTAACCTGGCAATTCTTTCTTCCTTGTTCAAAGAACACTAACTCCTTTTCTGAAGCAACATTACCTGCCCTCTTGGACAACTAGTGATTGATCTTGACTAATCCTACCAATTCTGTACTCTTTGTCAGTGACTGGTCTGGAAATGGGCATGTGACCAAATCCTGAACAATCAAATATTAGAAGCTGTCTTCTAGGAGGCCACTAAGAATGTGTTCCTTGATAAAAGACAAGTATATAATATTTGGAGCATCAGCAGACATTCTGCTACCATGAGGAACAAATCAGAATTCCAAAGCCAATGTACTGAGGTGATAGAGCAGGAGGGCCATTGAAGAAGTTACTGCGTTTGCACACCAATTTTGAAACAACCTTTCAGCGGACTGCCAGTCCGGTCAGTTTATTAAATAACCTTATACCATAAGTCACTTTTAGTGGGGTTGTTACTCATGGGCAAAATCATTCTAATTGATTCAGTGCTCAAATTTTTGTTGAACAAACAAATATGATTGTTACAAACATCACAAAACAAATTGTTCTCTTTGTCCATCTCTATTTCTACCATAAAAGAGGTTAAAGAAGAGGAAGAAAGAATGAGTGCAGATAGCATAATTCTAAAAAGTATTTGCTGGTTATGAAAATAGCTACGTTAAATCCTGTATTAGTTTCCTAGTGTTACAATATAAATTATTGCAAATTAGATTGCTTAAAATGGAAATTAATTGTCTCAGTCCTGGAGGCTACAAGTTTGAAATCAAGGTGTTTTCAATGCCAGGTCTCTGAAGGCTCTAGGAAAAAAATCCTTATTTGCTTCTTTCCTGCTTCTGGCAATCCTTGGCATTCTGGCTTGTAGCTGCAGCACTGTAATAATTTCCTCCATCTTTACATGGTCTTTTTTTTCCCCCCATTTATATCCATGTCCTTTCTTCCTCTTATAATGACACCAGATGTTGGATTTAGGGTCCACTCTAATTCAGTATGATCTCATATTAATCCTTACCTTGATTATATTTGCAAAGACTCCATTATTAAATTTGGTCACATTCTGAGGTTCTGAGTATACATGAATTTTGCGGGGAACACTATTCAACCATCTTAAAGATTCTAAATATTTTATTGCATCTGTAGTAAGAACATCTGAAGTTCATACCTTCCATTTTCATGACATTCTCATTGATATGTGTACAGTCTCTTCTATTTGCAATTTTCCTGGTAATCTCTGTCATAAACAGCATATAACTTCTCATTATATCATTAACATTATAAGTCAATTATACATTATGATGCATTTTTTTGTTAAACATAACCATATTTATTCTGATTTACATTAAAGGACATTACTGCTCTAAGTGTTACGACACATGAGTGTACTGGAAAGCAAGCAACAGCAAACAAAAAGGATCAATTATATTGTTAACATGTTATTTATGTAGTGATTTTTGGTGGCATGATATTTATTAATAGACTCTTTATTTTGTTTTTTCTTCTAGAGATGTTAATCATTAACTATGAAATCAAAAGTGAATATTCATTACAGAGATGTTATTCTCACGGCTCTTATGCTGAAAGTAACCCCAGTTTTGGTCAGATAAAAACAGTACTTCAACTGGCAAAGACACTCGGTCTTACTTCTGTCAAGGTCAATCAATATTAAGTGCATATCACAAGATTTTTTTGATTGATGACCAAAAGGTATTAGATCTAATCGTTTCCTGATGTGAGCTCTGGATATGGAAGATATTTAACCATTATTATTTTACTTTTTTTGTCTAGTGGTTTCAATTTATTCACTTAAATATTTCATTTGCCTGAAGAGTTTGAACAAGAGAAAAAAATGTCTAATCATTAAACTGAATTTGGCTAAATCAAGCAGAGAGAGCAGACCATTTTCAGTACTGAGCAGCTGCTGTTACCAGATATAAAAAGAGAAAGAAATGTTAGTTATTTCTTCAAAAATCATTTAAAATGTTCATTTTTCTCCTGATAAAAAGTGGGTATATCCTCTTTGTAAAAAATTTTATTTCCTGTCTCTGACTGGAAATTTCTCATTTATCTTTTAATTCCAAGCTGAAATTCCATAAGAAAGCATTCCCTGACTATGTTATGTTGCCCTAGTGCATGATGATTTTAGCCTGTATTTTGCCTATGTTAAACTTATTACAATATAATTAATGAATAATTTGTCTGATCATGTTTAATCTGCCTTGTTCCATGAGGGCAGAGATTGTGTCTCTCTTATTCCCCTTTGCATTCTCAGTTCCTATCACATTCTTTAGCACAGAGTAGATGCTTAATGAATGACTTGAGTGAGTCAGAGGATAACTGAAAATAGAACATGTGCACTCTTAATACTCAGAAAAACAACTTGATAACATTTTAGTAAGATTCCTTCTTATTTTTTTCTATTTTTTTCATGGTTGAGAAATTACCCTCTATACAATTTTCTACCCTATCTTTTCACTTAATATTAACTATATTTTTATTTAAGATGCAATATAAATCATAAAACCAATATAAATTCATGATAAAATCAATATAAATCCATGATAAAATCAATATAAATCCATGATAAAAGTTCAAATAACATGAAGAATGGAGAATAAAAGTCCTCTTCAACTCTGATCTTCTTTTCCAAACCTCCAGAAGGTAACCCCTGCTAACAGCTGAGGTACCTGTATCAGTTACCTATTGCTGCCGTAATACATAACCACAAATTTAGTGGTTTGAAAATAAGCAAATGTATTATGTGGCACCTCTGAAGGTCTGAAGTCCAAAATGGGTTGGTAGAGCTGTGTTCCTTCTGTAGGCTCTTGGGGAAAATTCGATTCCTTTTCTTTTCCAATCTCTAGAAGCGACTCACATGTCTTCCTTGGTGGCCCTTCATCACTTGGATCACTGGTTTGGTCTTCATATCTCTTTGTCTTCTCTGACCCCCTTGTCCTCCTCTTATAACAATCACTGTGATTACATTGGGCCTATCCAGATAATTCATTATTATCTCCTCATCCCAATATCCTTACTTTAATACATCTGCAAATTCCCTTTTGCCATATAAGGTAACATATTCACAAGTTCTAGGGATTAGGACATAGACATCTTTAGGGAGCCATTATTTTGCCTACGATGGTACACTTCTAGCAATTTTCTATAAAACAGACACATTTCTCCCTACCCTTTCCACTATTCTAATATCTTCCTAAGAGAGTTCTTTCAGGATGTCCCATATTTTGTAATAGGTGGTATGATTAAAATATTTCCTTAATGTCCCTGGGATTTCAGAGTGTCACAGATGCTTGATGAATAAAACCAATGTACAACTGAAGAAAAATCAATTGAATAAAATTAATTGTACTTGTAGAAAATTCTCAGCCTTCATGTGGAACTAAACTCACTATTGATTAGCTTTGTGCCAATGAAGCTGGTGGCTTCTTGTTTAACAATGGAGGACTACACTATTAATGAGACAGCAAGTTTTATCTTGCTAAAGCATTTGACAGGACTTTATGTCCAGGTCATTGTGGCATTTTATAATAGCATAGGATTTCCAAAACTGAGACTTTGAAGGACAGTTGCTCTATTTTTGCATTGAAGCAATGTTATTATGGCTTAGTCTGAAGCTAATGAGAAGGTCATGAGATGGAAATGGGTTACAGCAGAATAACAAACTATTGTTAAATGGCTCACTGGAAGGAGGGAAGAAAAGTATTTCAGGCCAAACTGAAAAGGAATTTAAGGTGGTGCAATATCAAGATCATGACAGAAAACACATATAAATACAAGAAAATGGTATAAATACACTAGAATGAAAGCCCTTTTGCTTTAATTACTTTTCTCTATTTGTATTTTATTATATTTAATTTCCTTTTATTGAATTTTACCTTGGCCTGAAAACTTTTTTTTTTCCCTGGAGATCCAGTTTCGCTCTATCACCTTGGCTGGAATACAATGGCACAAACTTGGTTCACTGTGGCTTCCACCTCCCAATTTCAAATGATTCTCGTGTCTCAGCCTCTGGTGTAGCTGTGATTACAGGAACCTGCCACCAGGCCTAGCTAATTTTTGTATTTTTTGTAGAGACAGGGTTTCACCATGTTGGCCAGGCTGGTCTCAAACTCCTGACCTAAAGTGATCCACCCACTTTGGCCTCCCAAAGTGCTTGGATTACAGGCATGTGCCACCGTGCCCAGCCCCCCAAAACACTGTGACTGTTAGATATAAAATGCTTCCATAGAATAGTTTTGGCACAGATTTTTGTAGCAAACAGACTTGCCTGTAGCAATTAAACTATATAGCATAAAATACATTGTAAAATCTCTCTCAGGGTCTATGTTCTTATCCTGATTAAATGTATCTTTTCCACTCATTTTATTTTGTGACATTTATTTAGTAGTCACAAAAGTATTTATAATAGGTTTATGTAAGTTTGTCTTGTCTTTTTTTTTGAGAAGGAGTTTTGCTCTTGTTACCCAGGCTGGAGTGCAATGGCGTGGTCTCGGCTCACGACAACCTCTGCCTCCTGTGTTCAGGCAATTCTCCTGCCTCAGCCTTCTGAGTAGCTGGGATTACAAGCACACGCCACCATGCTCAGCTAATTTTTTGTATTTTTAGTAGAGACGGGGTTTCACCATATTGACCAGGATGACTCGATCTCTTGACCTCGTGATCCACCTGCCTCGGCCTCCCAAAGTGCTGGGATTACAGGCGTGAGCCACCGTGCCCGGCCCGTAAGTTTGTCTTTCAAATTACTCTGGATAAATATTTAAACCAGACTTCACTTGTATATAAATACTAAACCTGCTCCACTTCCAGTGGTTCCTATGTTTCAAAAAATGGCAGTGCCATGCATTCAGTTGTATAAGCCAGATATTTAAAAGTCATCCTTGAAATTGTCCTTTCTCTTGCTTCCCAAATACAATCCATCACCATGTTCTTTGGGTTGTAATTCTAAAATTCCTATCAGTTCCCTTTACTTTTCATCATCTCCACTCTGGTCTTCATTGATAGTTATTAAAATATTTTTGAATATTTAGACCCCAAATTCCTATTTCAGGAAAATTATCCAAACAAAATAATTCAACAGATGCAAAAAGCAAAACACACAAAAGAGACTCTTCATAGTATTATTTTCATAGTTAAAACCTTTGCATTGTACAGTAGAGGCACAATTACTTTGGCTGAGGTATCAATAATGGATGGAATTTTTTCTCGCCATTAAATGTTAAAATCGTGAGGATTATGAAGCGTTTATGTCATACTATATGAAATGCAAAGCTTAAAGATGAAATGCAGAACTTAAAACTGAATGCACATAATAAAGAGAATGGTGGAACATATATATACACGAGCTGTGTCTCTTCCAGATAGGCTTTAGTTCCATAACTACAGAAGAGACTCAAGAAACAAAAACTTAACTAGCTTCCCCATGTTCGTTATTTCACTATATAATATACCCCAAGCCTCTGAACTGCACCCATATTTTCCATTTACAGTTTATCCAATTAATCTTTTTGTACCAAACGCTTGTTTTTCCCACCACATCCAACTTCCTATTTTCAAAGAATTAGCATCACTCTGCAAAAAAAAACTAAAAAAAAAAAAAAAAAAGAGAAACAACTTTCTAAAGTTTGAGGAGTCACGGGTTTTCCCTCCGCTCACCTTTCAAATTTTTTTCTTAAATGTTATACCTATTTTACACCTTCCAAACTGAAAATGCGGTTAAAGATAAAAGGTCGACATCCTGAGGCTGCTTCGTCCCAGCTGCCCAGGACCCTACAGGTCGACGAAAGCGCGGACTTCTGAGGCCGGTTGAGAGGCCGCCTGAAAGAGGCGCGGAAGGAGTCGCAAAAACTCGCCGGGCTGCTTTACGGCACTCCCTCCGCCCCTTCAGGTGGGGAAGTTTGAAACCGGCAAACATGGCGGTCTCCCACTGCTTCAGCCGGGCTGCTAGTGCCTTTACAGCGGTGTTGCTCTTTTCCTTCGGCTGCGTGGCCGCTAGTCATATCGAGGTAGGAGTCAGGCTCATTTGACTACAGAGACCCAAGAGGCCGGCTGTGTCGTGGCTGTGAGCTCTTCAGCAGATGTCCGATACACAGCAGCTGAGGGAAGCCTCATGGAGTCAGTCAGCCCCAGACTCAGGCTGGGCTTTGAGGAGGGTGTGTCACTGGGCAGGTTAGGACAGTGTCGGTCTGTTTCAGCGTTTTAAAACGATTAATTAAAAGAATCAAACCCTCAGAAGCAGAGGAGGACCTGATCCTTTGCTCCTGCATGTGTGCAGTTCTTAGCAAGTGAGGTGTGGGCAAGAGGCTGGTGAAATGTCAGTTTTAAGAGTGCGGCATCTACTTTCCAATACTCGGCTGCAGCCGTGTTTTGATAGGAATCAGACGGAACTGGAGAGGAGAGAGCAAGTTTAAGAATTCAGATTATAGAATTTAGTGATAATTAGAATATGGGATACAGAGAAGTGTTTATTAAATAGACTCTCAAGTTTCTGGCTTGAGAGCAACATGTCTGGGTTAAGAAATGGAGGAGAAAAGGGGTGCTTAGTTTTATCCTGGGTTCTCCCAACCTCCCATTTTTAAACATGGACACAGGACTTTCTGGTGCTCTATAATACTTTTAACTGTCCACCGTACTCTAATGATTCCTCAGTCCAGTTCTGCAATCTAAATGTCTGGTATCTTTTTCAGATCTGCATTTCCAGCTGACTAAGAAGCTGGGATAGGCAGGAGACATTTGAAAATCTGTGTCCAAAGTTCTATCTTCTGCTCATCCTACTTTTTCTTATAAAGACATTGAAAAACCAAGCACCCCTTTTCTCCTCCATTTCTCAACCCAGACATACCGCCCCTAAGCTGGAAACCTGAGAGTCTTAATCTCTTTATCGCCTATTATAATTATCATTAAATTCTACCACCTGAATTCTTAAAATTGCCCTCACCTCGTCAGTTCCAGTGACTTAATTCAGACTGTGATCACTTCTTGTCTAGACTCTTGCAATTACTTTATCTTGTTTTCCATAGGCCTCTCTCACTTTGATGCTAGATCGTCTCCCCGAAATGTAAGCTTGATCAGGTTATTGTTCTGATGAAATCTTTTAAATATTTTTCCATTGCATACAGAATGAAGTCTAAACATTATGATCTGGTTCCTTTCCAGTGTTCCATATTGGAACCTCTTCTCCCCACCACCTGGGCACCTTGAGCTTAGGCCAGTGGACTCCAAACTTTTTGAATGCACACCCTATCAGTTAAAAAAAGATACTGATCATGAACTTCGTATATATTTATGAATTACCGTTAACTTACATATTCGGTGCTCACATAGCATATTTTTTAGAAAACATAAATATGAGTAAATAGAAGGTCTATTTCCCTCCTTTATTCTAATTTTGAATACTTCATCTTGGATACCATTGCTGTTTTTTGTAGTTAGATGTTGCTCTTTTCACCTCACGATATTTTATATATCCTGTTTCCGCTGTTCATTTGCTAGGATACAGTAAAGGCATAACTTCTGTTGAACCTTTCCCTATCTCTTACCTTTGCCTTTACTTTTGTAATTTGTACACTTGATACAGTCTTGTTTGCTATAACTTGTGTATACTTTGTATTATTATTCCATCATCTCTCACTTAGAGTTGGGAGCAACAGTTCCCTAAATGGTTTGCCTTGAGTCATTCTTTTTTCCTTTCAATCCGTTCTCCAAATTGAAGCCAAAGTAACTTTAAAAAATGCAATTCTGATCACGTAATTCAGGCACCTTAATGTTGCTCTAAACCCTTTACTGTGACCTGCAAACAAAACCCTGCGTATTTTTTGGCCCCTGAGTACACTTCCAATTTTTTCTCTCTTTCTCTTTCAAACTTCTAGTTATGCTTTCTTTCAGCTTCTCAAAACCTTTAAGCTTCTCACATTAGAGCTGTCTCCCCTCTGTCTGGAACTGTATTTTCTCTTTTCTTCATCTTTTGGATTTTAACCCAACAGTCACTTCTTTAGGAAAAATTTCCTGACCAGGTCAGATTCCTCTGTTATTCTCTTATTATATTGTGTGTCTTTCCTCTATAGGATTTATAGTTTTCCCTTATCTGCTAAATGTATATCTAATTAGATAGTAACCTATTTGAAGGCAGTACTGTAACTATTTTTGCCCATCACTGTATTTGGAGACCTCAGGGCAGTGACTGGCACATGTTACCCAATGAATGTGATAAATTAATGAATGTTGCATTGTAGTGTAATGTGTTTGCATGTTCCTCTTTATTGAACTTTGGATTTTTTTTTTGGGGGGGGGAAGGAAGGCAGGAAGGAAGGGAATAAGGACGGTAGGGAGGAAGGAAGGGATGAAGGAAGGAAGGAAGGGAGGAAGCAGGGAGGGAGGGAGGGAGGGAGGGAGGGAAGGGAAGAAAGGAAATCAAGCAATGAAAGAGACATTGCCGACCTGGATCTAGAGGTTTACAAGTTGATTTCTTTTTTTTTTGAGAGAAGGAAAGAAAAAAAAAATAAGTAAAGGAGAGGAAGAAAGAGGAAGAGAAAGAGGGAGAGTAAATGGAAATATTGCTTTATTTTGAAAAAAATTGGGTATTAATAATGGCCAATCAATGTTTCATTTAAACTAATGGGTAGGTGTGATGTGGTATTGACAAGAATGTATATTTTGTGTATTTGAAGTGGAGAGCTCTATAAATATTTATTAAGTTTACTTGTTCTGGATCTGAGTTCGAGTCCTTGATATCCTTATTAATTTTCTGTCTCATTGAATCTAAGTCTCCTATCTGGGTGTTAGGATCGTTAGCTCTTATTGTTGCATTGATCCTTTTACCACTATATCTTTGTTGCTTTAAAATCTATTTTATCCGATACAAGAATTGCAACTCCTGCTTTTTATTTATTTATTATTTATTTTTGCTCTCCATTTGGTTGGTAAATCTTTGTCCATCCCTTTGTTTTGAGTCTTTGTGTATCCTTGCATGTGAAACAGGTCTGGATGTAACATGCCGTTGGGTTTTGGCTGTGTCTTTTGATTGGGAATTCAGTCAATTTAAATTTGGGGTTACTGCCATTTGTTGTTGACTCACTGTTTTATCCATTTGTTGGTGTAAATTCTTCTTTCTGTTGGTGCTCTTTACTTTTTGGTGTATTTTTAGAAAGGCTAATACTGGTTGTTTCTTTCTGTGTGTAATGCTTCTTTCAGAAGCTCTTGTAAAGCAGGCCTGGTGGTAATAAAATCTCCGAGTTCTTGCTTGTTCATAAAAGATTTTATTTTTCCTTCAGTTGTGAAGCTTAGTTTGGCTGGATATGAAATTCTGGGCTGAAGGTTCCGTTCTTTGAGGATGTTGAATATTGGCCCCCACTCTCTTCTGGCTTGTAGAGTTTCTGCCGAGAGATCTGCTGTAAGTCTGATAGGCTTGCCTTTGTGGGTAATCTGACCTTTCTCTCTGGCTGCCCTTAGTATCCTCTCCTTCGTTTCAACCCTGGTGAATCTAATGATTATGTGCCTTGGGGTTGCTCTTCTTGAGGAATATCTTTGTGGTGTTCTCTGTATTACCTGGGGTTGAATGTTGACCTGCTTTGCTAGTTTAGGAAAATTTTCCTGAATAATATCCTGAAGGGTATTTTCCAGCTTGGATTCATTCTCTCCGGCGCATTCAGGTACACCTATCAAACGTAAATTTGGTCTTTTCACATAGTCCCACATTTCTTGGAGACTTTGCTCATTCCTTTTTATCCTTTTTTCTCTAACCTTTTCTTCACGTTTTATTTCATTAAGTTGGACTTTGACCTCTGATATCCCTTCTTCTGCTTGAACAATTTGATTGTTTAAACCTGTGCATACTTCTCGGAGTTCCTGTATTGTATTCTTCAGTTCCATTAATTCACTCATACTCCTCTCTAAGTTGTCTATTCTCAATAGGATTTCATCAAACCTTTTTTCAAAGTTCCTAGTTTCTTTACGTTGGGCTACAACATGTTCTTTTAACTCACCGAAGTTTGTTATTATCCATTCCTTGAAGAGTGATTCTGTCATCAGGAGGCGCTCTTTCTCCATCAAGCCTTGTTCTATTGTCGATGTGGAACTGTGATCATCTTTAGAGGGAGAGGCGTTCTGATTTTGAGTACTCTCAGCTTTTTTACGCTGGTTTCTTCCCGTCATTGTAAATTTATCCTCCTGTCGTCATTGAAATTACCAACTTTCAGATTAGGTCTCTTGAGTGGACGTCCAGGTTGTTAGTTCCCAGGGCCAGAGCAGCGGCGTTAAAACTGATGGTGCTTTTCTGCCCAGGATTCTCCTGTCGGGCTTCCTTCTTGTTTCCGTAGTAGGCGACTCTGCCTTCCGGGGCTCCAAACCTCGGTCAGAAAGGGAACCGGTCCGGTTTACTCTGCGCCGAGCGCTGCCGTGTCGAGGTGCTGGCGGAACCGCTGCGCCGACCACGAGAGTCGCGCTGGCAACTCGTGTGTTTCCACCACTGGGGGATCTTCTGCTCCGGGAGTGACCAGACTTTGTCTGAAAGTGTGGCGTCCTCTAGTTCTCCGCGCCTTCCCTGAGAGCTGCAATCCCGGGATGTTAGCGATCGGCCATCTTGGATCGTTCTCTGATTCTTTTTTTTTTTTGAGATGGAGTCTGGCTCTGTCGTCTAGGCTAGAGTGTAGTGGAGCTATCTTGGCTCACTGCAACCTCCACGTACCAGGTTGAAGCGATTCTCCTGCCTCAGCCTCCCAAGTAGTTGGGATTACAGGTGCCTGCCACCACACCTAGCTAATTTTTGTATTTTTAGTAGAGATGGGGTTTCACTGTGTTGGCCAGCTGGTCTTGAACTCCTGACCTCATGATCCACCTGCCTTGGCCTCCCAAAGTGCTGGGATTACAAGTGTGAGCCACTGTGTCTGGCCAAACTCTGTATCCTTAAGAGAAAGCAGCATGCTTTTTAGTGATTGTGTTCACTATATAATGCTATCTGGTACATAATAAATGCTCCATTTACTGTTTATAGAATGAATAACTTTATAAT